TTTCATAACGAAACACACAGCATCTCCACAACATGGCGGCGGCGGCAGCAACAATAATACAGCGAGAATAAGTTACGCCTTCTTTCTTTGCGTGAACGTTTGGGCGGCGTTATGCAAATCTTCTCACATCGTGACGTAGACATGTGGGGTGTGTTAGAACGAGCCGTTTTAGGTAGGTGTGGCTGACTCTGAACTTTTATAAAGAATATCTCTTTGGATTTGAGACTTTAGTCTTTGCAACTTTACAGATCTTCTTTATGCACCAAGAGCTTGTAACACTCCAAAGAGAAAGGAAAAATTGAAATCGCATCATATGACCTCTTTAATGACACCCCCTATTTTAGCAAGGGATATGCTGAATCTGTATTTGTAACATTACATGCTACAAAATCATTAAATATATAATACATAGTTTGTAAGCTCCCTGGACATTACACAGACACATATGTATCCTGTGATAGTTATAATTTAATGCACAAATCATCAAGGTGCTCTAAAGACCTGTTATAGCCACGGTATAGATGGATCGCACTTGTGTAGGAGACTCAGGGAAAGAGAAATTATGCCATGAAGAAACACTTCAAAAGTGAAAACACACTCATCTTCTGTCATTGAATATGATTCCAATAGGATAAGCATGCACAGTCTCGTGAATAATTATAAGACACTGATGAGTCATCAGTGTACTTTAATGTGAGAAAATGCCTCAACCTGTGACATTGACACTATGAAGATTTTAAATCTGCAAGACAAAAATAGCACTTAAGGTTAAAATTAACCATTTTCAAATACAATTCAAATTAACTCTTGCTAACATTGTTTTCTATAATGTGCAACACAAACACTTCTGTTAAAATCTATGGATAAAATGTATGACCCCTTAAAATGACTCTTGATTAAAGGCTTAACAATGGAATTTCAGTTCTCTAAATCTAGACATTTCAGCGATTGCACACTATACAAGTGTTACTTTACACTTTACTGTCCATTTATTTAGCTTTTTTTTTGCAGATGGGAAATGCACAGACTGCAACAAAGGCTCTACCTCTATTCCCACTGGACCTGTGATTGGAGCTATAGTTATAATAGCTATAATAGTTCTTGTTGCAGCACTCGGCTTTTACCTTTATAAGACTAAAAGACTCGGTGAGTATTACAACAGGATCACTGATCCTGGGCACACTCTTTTTAATATTTTTATTTAATAAAGGTGCTTCAACTATCAGGATTGACAAGGCTGTTTTTTTGTAAAAAAAAACAAAAAACATCAACTATTAGGGCTGGGTGGTAAGAATGACCAAATTCTTGTAATAGTCAGGTGAAATATCTATTAATGTGGTTAAGCTGCAAGCAACTAAACTCTCCTTAACAACTATCTGTCCCTGACAGCAGTGCATGTAGACTGTAACGGTATTTATGATCTTTATTTGTAATAATCTCTAGTTATCCCATGGAGTAATACCAATGGAGCAGCACAAAGGAATCATGCTAATGGAGTAACTCAAAATCTTCTCCCAGGTAAAATGAAAGTGAAATGAATCTGTATTTCCCTTTAGATAAGTGTTCTGGGGTGTTCATGCATACAACAATTTTATCACTAGTGCTTGTGTGGGTGTGATTGCTCCTACTGCTGGATGATTTTAATGGGCTACACAACGGTTATTAAATTTATATATATAAAAATTAAATAAAATAATAAAATCACCACAAATTTGATGGAGTACTTTAAAATGCATAATGAGTATGTTTTGACAGGGAAACAGTTTTCCGCTACTAATAATGAACAGCAAACATTCACAAAGAGCATCGCAATTATCTTAACCTGTGTTTAGAAGCATAGTTTCTTGTTAGTATGACATGTGCATAGATCCAAATAAGCAAGCTAACATGCAGTACAATCTATCTTTCATTCCACATATATACAAATTTCATTTTATGTCTTTAAGTTTATCACGAGAATGAAAGTTAAGGGAACCCCAGAATAAACACAAGAGCAGAGTCGGCACTAGTGCATCACTGAAGAGGGGTCATCTGAAGTGACGAAAGGGGACAATGACAGTGCAAACTTAGCATAACATAGCTACTGAACAACTTACAGTTGGCAGAGTATTACTATAGTATTAATAGTATTAGTAATAATTTAGTAATAGCATTACTATATAAAACTGAAGGAAAATTGCTAAAGCCAGCACATTAAAAAATTTGACCCGAAATCTAAGTAAAGTGAAAAAAAGTGAAGTGACATGTGGCCAAGTATGGTGACCCATACTCAGAATTTGTGCTCTGCATTTAACCTATTCAAGTGCACACACACACACACACACACCGTGAACACACACCCGGGGAGCAGTTGGGGGTTTGGTGCCTTGCTCAAGGATCTCACCTCAGTCGTGGTATTGAGGGTGGAAGAGAGCGCTGGTGATTCACTCCCCCCACCTCACTTGAGACTCGAACCTGCAACCTTCAGGTTACAAGTCAGACTCTCTAACCATTAGGCCACGACTGCCCCACAAATGTATTATACACATTTTAGACCACCAGAAATAAATGACTTGGATAAACAATTTCAGCAGAGTTACCATTAATACAGACAAGTTTTCATGATACCACCGCCACCAAATATAATTGTTTATTATTATTTATTTGTATAATTAATTGCCTGCTAACACATGCTTATTGTGGCCACTTCACTAATTTAACACTCACTTCGACCCATTTAACAGATGCATAATTTTATGGTAAATTAAAATTGATAAGTGTTCTGTGTTTCTTATTTTCTATTCCTCATTGGATTTCCCAGGGGAGAATTATAGCAATGGACATGCACAAACAGCAGCCAATGGACATGCACAAACAGCAGCCAGTGGACATGCACAAACAGCAGCCAGTGGACATGCACAAACAGCAGCCAATGGAGGTAAGCAGTTAACAGTGCAGGTACAGCAGAAAAATCTGCTGGTGTTTTTGAAATAATATGCCATGAGGGCTGTGTAGTGATTACATAATAACAAAACAAAATGTAATAAGTGCACATAAGTATTACATTATTAATATATTAAAATGTTCAGAATGTAACTATTTTTGTTGGTATGGGTTGCTATGGGTGATTCATAGGGTCAAACAGAACATGCTGCTATGACTCTAAAGGAATAGTTCACTTCCAGAATAAAAATTTCCTGATAATTTACTCACCCCCATGTCATCCAAGATGTTCATGTCTTTCTTTCTTCAGTCGAAAAGAAATTAAGGTTTTTAAGGAAAACATTCCAGGATTTTTCTCCATATAATGGACTTAAATGGAAACCAAGTTGTTGAAGGTCCAAATTGCAGTTTCAATGCAGCTTCGAAGGGCTCTACACGATCCCAGCTGAGGAACAAGGGTTGTATCTAGCAAAACGATTGGTCATTTTCTTAAAAAAAAATCAAATGTATATACTTTTTAACCACAAATGAACCACAAATCTCGACTTCATGCATTACGTAGTCATGTTGGAAAGGTCACGCATGACGTAGGCAGAAGCACCGACCCAGTGTTTACAAAGCAAACATGCAAAGAAAGTCAAACGCTCTTTACAAAAAAGGTAAAACAATGATGTCGGATGATTTTGAAGTTGGAGGAGAAAATGAGATTGAGTTTTTTGCCCTACCCTTCCTTTCTGAACCGAAAGCACACAGACAAAGAGCTAACTGTGCTTGACCTTTCCAATGTGATTACGTCATGTGTGAAGTAGAGCTAGTGCAAGACGAACATTTGTGGTTTAACAATATGTTTTTTTTTTAAGAAAATGACAGATCGTTTTGCTAGATAAGACTCTTATTCCTCGGCTGGGATCGTGTAGAGCCCTTCGAAGCTGCACTGAAACTGCAATTTGGACATTCAACAACTTGGTTCCCATTTAAGTCCATTATATGGAGAAAAATCCTGGAATGTTTTCCTCAAAAACTTTAATTTCTTTTTGACTGAAGAAAGAAAGACATGAACATCTTGGATGATATGGGGGTGAGTAAATGATCGGGAAATTTTTATTCTGGAATTGAACTAATCCTTCAAGTCAAGTCACCTTTATTTTATATAGTGCTTTATACAATGCTGATTGTGTCAAAGCAGCTTTAAGGGAACGAATCACACCAGGACAACTATCGCGCGCGATTATCGCAGACGTTTAACACCTTGTGACTAAACAAAGGGCGCCAATGTGAGTGTGCAAAACGCAAGGCGTAAAAGCATCATTTTTAAAAAAACGCCTCGGGCTCGTTTTTGTGGTTTGACGCGCCGCATTAAAAACTGGCCGACCAATGAGATTGGCACTTTTGTTCACGTGCCTGGAGCTGCTGAAGTTACAGTAAAGCACGACTTGGTGGCACTCAAGCACAAAACGGCCTTGCCGAGCACACATTGATACCTAACGACGAAGAGGAAGTAAGTAGACCAAGAAGATGCATCGAGGCAAGATGAATGTAGAGCTGCTGGTCTCATTGGTGTCTGAACACAAAGGGCTTTATGACAAACGTGACAGCGACTACAAAAATCTCAATAAGAGGGAGTTGTTATGGAGAGGAATTGCAGATCAAAGAGGATTCAATGTGTACCGGGGTATTTCTGTTTTTCATTAAGCGCCATCTAATGTCAGGGAGTGAATTTGCACATTCACTCGGCTCATAGCCAGCGAAAATCGCTTGGGTATGAACACAAAAGACACGTCGAAAAACGTTGGTGATAATCGTCCCGGTGTGTACGAGGCTTTACAGAATCAAACAGGAAAATAATTTGCCAATAATGCAAGAAGACAATAGCAGAGTAATTTTTCAGCTAAAGTCAGTTCATTGATGATTCAGTGATGTCATCATCCAGTTCAACTCTCTTCCAATAGTGTCTGTGCAATCAGTCAAGCGTCCCCAACTAAGTGAGATGCGTTAATGCGTTATTGTGTTAACTTCCAACAGCCCTAAATTGAACGAGACATTTTCTTCACACAGAAGTTGTAGTTTGACATGTTTTTCTGCCCCCTTTTGATTGACAGGATATAACCAGATCATGACGGTTTTTAAACAATCAGCAGATGGCTGATGGTGCAGATAATTGACCTATCAGTAAGCCCCTCCCCTCAAACGCAGATGAGCCAATGGCAGTCGAGTATCAGTTGCAGGGGAGCGGAACTCGGACATCTGTAGGTTTCAGAGCCATAGAGAAACATTGGAGGATCCGAAGCTCGCATCGTTTTTATGGGGTTTATGCTTCAAAAATGGAAAAACTATGTGCCTAGGGTACTTGTAACACTAATTCCAGTTATCCTGAGAGGATAGGCAATGTAATTTATTTTATTCCATTTCCTAAATCCACCCAAAACAGAGCAAAATATCCCCAAGCATTCAACCCCAATCACCATGATGACGAAAACGTTCATTTTCTGGTTGTCATACTTTCATTAAGTTACACTTTTCATCTGCTCAAGCAGAACGTTAATGTCATCTTGTGCTTCAACAAAGTATTTCTGGCTAAAACTAGCTAACGTTAGCGTTAAAGTTAGTGAGTCCATGCTAACGTACAAACCTAAATGGCGAACTGTTCTCAAGTCATGTGCCGTGCAGTTAAAGTCAAAAACACATAAACGAAGGTCTATATTAGAGTGCCTCTCCATATTAATCGGGTTAAATGTAAATGAACTTAATCTTACTCTGCAGTATATGAACGGCGTTGATCCGGGATGTTGTCGTTGCGATCGTGACGACCGTAACAATTCTCCCATTTGCATTGTGATCTGTATTTTTACATATTTATTTTAATATATTTTATATATTCCTCCATGGCATATTTAAGTCCCACTTGAAGGTCCATCTGTGTCCCAAATTTATCAGCAACACCTCGGAAGAAGGTTTTCACTGACAGCTGTCATTGTAAGACAAGTGAGCAACTCACTGTTTGTTTGTCCGAGTGAGCAACAGTAACTAAGGGGGGTGGGGCTTACCGATTATTGACAGATACATTGGTGCATCCCCAATTATAAGCAAATAGTACAGTTATATGTGAAGTTTACTAAAATATTCTTCTATTTTTCTCATTTGTTTGCCCTATTAAAGGAAGCAGTGGAACGGAAGCCATCGTCTAACTGTAAAATAGCATATGTATTCCAGAATTATGCTAAAGAAATTAATCTTATGGTCATGTTTTACTGCAATATTGATTACGGTTTCTTTTTGTGCCACAGGAAGCAGGAAAAGTAGTGACTGAAGATGGAGATGGCCTTTCTGATTTTTTTCTTACTTTCATCATATCTACCATGTGCTTTGCTTTCCTGAATTCTTTAAGTGTGTAAGATCTGGTCAGAGTCAGACATAGGTAACTTAAACTGAGAGCAGGGTTCGTACAAGGTGTTTAAAGTGCTTGAATTTGACTTTTTGAAATTTAAGTCCTGGAAAACCCTTGAAAACAGCCATATTTTTGAGAAGGTACTTGGAAAATACTTGAATTTATAAAGGGCAGTATATATAAAAATTTGTGTTATTTTTTTTCCTCTTTAAAACAATATTTTTACGCAAAATTAACGATGCAGCGCATCTGATATAAATACAGAGCCGTTTCGCCGGGCTTTTAGCAGCGCACGAGATCTCGCGATATTACTCCTTGAGGTGAAAAGCGGTCTCGCGATATTAGTATAAAGTTGTGTTTGCGGTAAAACCTTTGATAGTGCTTGTATTATATTGTTCGGTCTTTTATTGCATGTGCTGTTCGTTTGGGTTTCATTTGGGAACGCATATAAAGTCTGACGCGTTTTGTGTTGCATTGTTATCATTTACAAGCGTGGAGCTCATCTCCATCTCAGCTGCTCGGGACACAAACTCTTCCTCTGCATATGCTAGGGTGACCATATGGGCTATTTTTACAGGACGCGTCCTTGCCAGGATTTCTACATTGCCTAAAATATCCAGGTTTTGGCTGTTTACACTGCAGATCGATCATTGTATGACATTCACGAGTGCTATAGAGAGCAGAGCAGACGGCTCCTTATGCTTTCGAATCACTCTCGCAGTACTTTGGAGTCATTAAATGATCGGTGCGCAGCGATACTTCAAGTCGAACGAACAAACACGTGCACGTATTTGCATCGCTTTGATCGTTCTATGTAGATCTCACCTTCTCACGCGCCACGATTGGTCGATTATATACAATACCTGCATGTTGTTGGTCAAACTACTTTGGATGTTTTAGGCAATATAAAAATCCTGGCTAGGACGTGTCCAGTATGAACGGCACATATGGCCACCCTAGCATATGCTGTGAGTTTGTGTTGCTTAACGTTCATCTGGGAAAACAGTGCATGTTATCTCACTAGATTTGTAACGTAAATCATTTATAAACCTATGCCAAAACAGGAGAATACATCAACATATTTCTAAATATGCGATTTGTTGTACATCGCGATTTCAAAATAAAAGTTCAAACCCTTGTTCTGAGTTTGCATGTGGCCAAATATTAAAATTACACGGATTTAAACGTCCTTGAATCACGCTGTAAAGTGAAGCATGGCCAGACCGTTGGCGGCCTCTGCAGGTATTTGTTAAAATACATATACTGAAATTGGTTGTGTTCATATTTTGTTCAGGCATATTACATTATGTAGGCCTATTTTATCAGTGTTGTTCTATAAAACCATGTAATTACTTGGTTTTGATACTTTATTATCAAATTATTGTAATTATTTATTACAATTATTATTGCCTCGTCGTTAGTTTATATATAAATAGTCATCCTAAAGCCTGTTTTTCACTTAGGTCTATTTGTATTACTAAAAAATATCATTGATTACTCAATTGTCAAAATAATCAGTAGATTACTTGATTACCAAAATAATCAGTTACAGCCCTATATTAGTTAAAATATTTCAAAATACAAGTGCATTGTTTAGATTTGTGTGATTAAAAGACAAATATTTTGTCATTTAAAAAAAAATCTTAAAAATATTACAGTATTAAAATATTGTCTCATTCTAGTGAATCAAGTATCTGTATATCTCGTAAGCTAAGTGTATTGTCACACACCCTAGTGTTGATAAGTGGTGATATTGCTCATCATTTCCCAAGTGTACGATACAGCTTTCATTCTTCAGGTCAATCATATATTCATGAAAAAAAAAAATCAGTTTGAATAAGGAAAGCGATAACTTTGACTAATATCCCACATTTCATTACACCAAATACACAAAATACTGTTCTTTTTAGCAGCATCATATGACCCCTTTAAAGTTGCCACAGTCATTGCATGCTTTTGTGCCGCACTTTATTTGTACCATTTTGTATTAGTTTATTAGGCTAGAATTTGAAAGATAATATTGTTTGATAAGTGAGATCTCTGATTTTAGTCCTTGAAAACCAAAAAAGTAGTGCTTAAAGTCCTTGAAAGTCCTGGAATTTCATTTTGCAGTTTCTGTACGAACCCTGTGAAAGATTGTAATGACTTGTTGCCATGCTACCTTCAGACTGTGTAGTGTGTAATTATGCACATGTTCATGTGTGATGAGGAAGGACATGGAATATGGGGGATTTCTAACTTTTACCATAATTAAGCTCAAGGAAAATTAAGAATATCTGGAAATAACACCAGTTGCCCCCGATGTCCAAACAAAGAAAATTAGGATTGTTGTAGTCATCCACTGTTATGGGCAAAAACGTTTATTTAAATTAGGTCAAACATTTCAGTTGATAGCCATGTTCTTTTGTTACATTACATTTACATTTGACAAATGATTTAATCAAAGTGACTTACATTGCATTCAAGTATACATTTCATCAGTTGATACATTTCTTGGGACTCGAACTCATGACCCATTGCTAGCGCTTTCTCTACTGTTTGAGCTACAGCAATGTTGTTTGAGGTCAAAGTATGAACTTGTCAAAATAAGCGTGTTGTGCTTAAGCTTTGAATAAATGTTACAATTTTATTTTGACTGTGGTTGTGGTTTTTTGGAAGATTTGGCCTTGTTGACTGCAAATGAGCTTTATTTTTCTTCATTATTAATAGCATAATTTCACAGTTCAGATCTCAAGCATGGGACACTGCAGATCATGTCATGAATTAAGTTAGAAGAACTTAAGATTCATTAACTAAAAATGTATAAACGGTTTTGTATGTAACAAAAATAATTGAAAAATGTTCAATAGCAATATAAGTTAGAGGATATTATAATAGATATTATGAAACTACCTTATTTTTCCTGCAATTTTTTTTGTTTCTGGTAACATGTCAGTGTCATCCACTTACACCTATTTTTAAATATAAAACAGCTCTTTTTGCTGCTTGATATTGCAAACAGGTGTTTCACACCATATTATTTGTAAAGTATTGTCTTAATTATAAACACACTGGTTTGTAGCTGTCATGCATTTCCCAGCTTGTAAAGTGTTTCAGTATGTGAAGTGAATAAAGTTTTTTTTTCCCCAACATGTAATCTAAAGGGGAGGGGAGGGTTGTGTAATCATTGGTTGTGTATGAGGTTTGCATGCATGTGAAACCTTTCATTATAACCGACAAAGTATAAACACAATGTAAAAGATTTGAAGGTAGTTATGTCTAGTATTAAAGGGTTACTCCACCCCAAAATGAAAATCGTGTCATTAATCACTTACCCCCCTGTCGTTCCAAACTCGTAAAAGCTTAGTTCGTCTTCGGAACACAATTTAAGATATTTTGGATGAAAACCGGGAGGCTTGTGACTGTCCCATTGACTGCCAAGTAAATTACACTGTCAAGGTCCAGAAAAGTATGAAAGACTTCGTCAGAATAGTCCATCTGCCATCAGTGGTTCAACCGTAACGTTATGAAGCGACGAGAATACTTTTTGTACGCGAAGAAAACAAAAAATAATGACTTTATTCAACAATTCGTCTCCTCTGTGTCTCTCCGCATCACCGTAGCGCCATTTTGGAGAATATCCACTGAACGCAAGCAGCGTACGCTATTTTGCGTCAGCTGTGCCACAAGGATACATTTTCTACATGCATTTACGCTTTGATTTGAACGAAAACAGCGCATCCGTGCAGCGCGGCTGACACAGAAGAGCGTACGCTGCTTGCGTTCAGCAGATATTCTCCAAAACGGCGCTACGGTGTTGCGGATGTTACTTTTTACATTATAAGGAAGTACATCGTATTTACTTCCGCGTTGCAAAATAAGGTGGATAGATCTCTGCGGAACAATAAGGAGGCGTTTCTCAATTATTGGGCGTCTTCAAACTAGGATAGGTGTTTACTGTTTAACTATCCAATCATAAAAGTATGAGGCTATATTATTTCCCTTTTTTCTTTTCTTTCTTGTTTTTCTCATTAACGCAACTGTTTTGTTGAGTCCTAGATCACGATCAAACAATTAGTTATGTCAAGATCACGAGTAATCAAGAAATAAAAAGCAATGCCGCATGCTGACTTAAAACTCGGAAAAAATGCGTTCCGAAATACTGTTTTATATTAATGTAAGGGATTAATAAGTTTCATTTTGGGGTGGAGTATCCCTTTAAGGGTTTTTTTTCCCTAATAATTGATAGTTTTAAAGTGATATTAAACATTTTTCTTCCCTGAAAGCGGTCATGCCCTAGAAGGTTTACAGCTTTGTCAGCATTTTAAATCCCTGGTAAATTTGCATTGCTGGTTTTAGTCAGATGCTTTAGTCTTAGGTGCTTGCCAAAATATACATTGTGCAAAGATATATTTAAAAATTTATTCAACGTTAGACAACACCAACACAAGAGGATTCACACACTCTCATTGCCAGTGGTTCACCTGCGCCTCATTCAGGGAAACTACAAGAAAATTGACACCAAATGACATCAGCTGGCAGACAATAGAAATAAGTCATTGTAATAGATCATGAACATTTGAGTGAATTAATTCTGAACACACACCTTTCCATCGAAGCAGGTCTCTGTGCAAGGCGACCCAGAGGGCAAGCACACTTCAGTAGAGCACATGAAGTAAATCTGTTTGCAGGGAGAAACACTTGAACCACCGGCGTCTCTTTCCAAATCATGCTTCTGATCATGTGTTTGTGTAGTTACCTCCTCATTCAGGTATTTTTTGGTGGACAAATCCATGAACTGAAAGGCTTTAATCTCAAAGCGACGCTGGTGCCGATTCTGAGGAAGATGTTTCATATAAAGGATGGCGGTGCTGCCAGAGTCGAGAGGATTAGGGCATCTGCAGAATAAGTGTTAAACAAGAATCAATGCTGAATGAGACATTTGAGAAAAGCAAAACTTGTAAATATATGCATATCAAATTCTTTTTGGAATAAACTGAAACGAAAGGTGTTGAAGTACAACAGGTAATTATGGAAACAAATGTTAATGAACTTAAATAAAATATAAAAATGCACACAAATCAAATACCCCTGATGCCATGGTCTCTTACCCATCAAACAGTAGAACCAGGGCGCTCTGAGCGGAGCGTGAATAGGCCACACAGTAATGAACTATAAGAGTAGCTGCCGGTTTTCGAGACCTCAGACGCAACTCCAGATATACAGACTTCCCCAAAAGAACGTGTAGGGGCTGATGACACTGTGGATAAAACTTAGTGAAAGTCTCATCTGCAAGAAAAAAATTGGGGGTAAATTAAGCATCTCAAATAGTAAAGGCTATGACAGTATGGCATGTTCCAGTTTAACATGGCTACTGAAATTTACCCATAGAAATTAAAAGCTGAACTCCAAACCGCCCTTCAGACACCAGGACTGGAGGCAGACTGGGACTCATAACCATGTATCCTGCACTCGCAAGCATAGGTCCTGCAAACATGGGAGCAGCTGAAACCCTCGGGTAGCGGCACTCAACCATCAGTCTAAGGAAGACAAAATAAAAGACAAAGGAGGAAAAATAAGATGCATATAGGCATACAAGCATACAACGGCAGCCTGTGAGATTACGAAGACTTGGAACAATATGCACTGATAAAAATACACTATAATACCAGAAACATGCATTGAAGACAGCAAAAGGACAGGCTAGACCATTTTCAAAGAACATTTTTAAAAACCTTATTGGATTATCCCTGGAGATCATGCCATACTTCAGGTTGCGAACTTTAATTATGGTCTGTACCTCAGCCAGGTAAATTATCGTCTCGCCAATGACCTGTAGAATTACAGCAAACGTCCTCTTGTTTCAATGAACTGACTGAATCAGTGTACAGTACAAACGGAGTTCTCTACATCAAAATACTTGCATAAGAACGTGTTCCACACTCAGAGACAGAAAATTTGAAGACGGCGAAGTCTTTGTTGGAGATAACAGGCTTGCAACCAGTCTTTCCAGCAACCATCAGGCTCATGGGGTTCACAGGGATGTTTGTGAAATCATTATAAACGGCGAAGACAAAGTTCTTATCAGCAGTGCATTCTGGGAAGACAAGAAGGTTGAGCCAAATTAAACTAAATTTGAAAACAAGACGTTAAAAACAGATTAAAAAAAAAAGAAAAGAAAAAAAAAGCTAAAAACCCACTCCTCCCTGGATTTGTTCAGGATAAAATAGGTTTTTCAATGTCTAGTACCACTAAGTACCACTAGAGACGTCCTGTATGTACTAAAAAAAAAAAACATAAGAGCAAGTAATGCAGTAAAACAAATCACATCCATGAAAAGGTAATGTGTTATTTTTAGGCATAGACCAACATGACAGTATGCCTGTGCACAAAGTAAGGTACAAGTAAAGAAATGCTCTACTGAGCCTGGTCTAATTAATATAATAATTATATTATATTACTTTTCAAAACTTGAACACAATGGCAGTACACTTAGCATTATCATTTTCACTTTTAAGAGGCGCTCTTAAAAAAAGGCACGTAATACAATTAATTTAACATATGTTCATTTAAACAGTTTTTGGAGACTTTTAACATTTAATTAAAACAATCATTCTCATTGAAACATGGCTCATGCATTTAAAATTTTCATCACAATATTTGCACTCAGTGTTGTGCATTCAGCCAATATATTAACAACTAATGGCTATATCAAAACAGACAAACATGGATGAACTTTTTTGAGAGAAAAGGACCATTGGTACCTCAATATGCTTTCTCAGATTTAATGGCAAACTTAATATGCCATCTTCAAAGACATTTACCTGATGAAAATTTTAACTGAAGCTGAAATGTTGTTGTGTGAACAGAAATCTCATTGGTTCTCATACATCAAAAGCGTACGTTTGAGCTTCTGTTTACCATATTTAATGCATGCAAGTACTTTTCAAAATGAAACTATAAATAAATGTAATCAATTAAAAATACAAGTATCATACTGGAGTTATTTTGGGGGATTTGTACTTTATTCAAGTATTTATTTACACACCTAAGCACGTATGTGCTTTAAGTGGACCGACCTAAAAACTGCAGGATTTGAGGTCCTTATGATAACACGGTGTGAACCGACTTGCCTTAATAGCCTTAAGTTACTTGAACATGCACGGTTTCAGCGGTGAAGTACATACACATCATAGCAATTTGTAGCCGTTTTGGTGAATTCGTATGATTTCACATGATCTCAGTTGTACGTTACTCTACAATCTGCTCTCTAAAAATCATACAATATTATATTATACCTGAACTCACAGATGACCTTATATCTGATTTGGAAAGAAGGTTAAAGAAGTGAAAGCAGATACAGCAGCAAAAATAGTGATTAATGGATGCGTGAAGAGGCTTGGCTCACTGTGCCAATTCCTCCCCAAAGTCTTCAGGGTTAAGATTTGGGCAGTTTGGAGGCCAACATTCTTCCACACCAGATTCATTAAATATTTTTTATATGGACCTCACTTTGCCCGGTTGGTTCAGGTGTGTTTAATTAGGGCTGGAGATAAACTCTGCAGGACACCGGCCCTCCAGGACCGAGCTTGGTGACCCCTGTATTAAATGGTCGAAAAATAACAAGCAACACTTGGTACCTTCATGGTAAAAAAATGACAGACATAAGAAACTAATAGAACATACAAAAAAAAAAAAAGTCATGGAAAAATTGCTCAATTTTATAAATATCGCATAGCATCATAAAATATTGAACAAAAATATATTCGATTGATTTTCTTGAAAAAGCGATGTTACATTCAAGGCTTTGGTCACTTTTGACCATGAAGGTTCCAAGTGTGACCCACAAATGAAGAGGCCCAGAATACCACATTTTGTTGTCGCCCATTCAACAGTTACAGCATCTAATATCAGCCAAACTGAAAAATATTAGCCAATGCTTATGGCTATTAAAGCTTGATTTCATGGGATGCTTCATTAATCATCAAACCTTATCAAACTTTTCATAACACAATGGAAGTACACTTTGCATTATTTTCACTTTTAAGAGGCACTCTAAAAAAAAAAGGCACGTAATACAATTAATTTAACGATGTTAATTTACACACTTTTTGGAGACTTTAACATTTAATTAAAACAATCATTCTCATTGAAACATGGGTCATGCATTTCAATTCTCATCACTGATTTTATTTGCACTCAAACATGATCTCAGTTGTACGTTACTCTACAATCTGCTCTCTAAAAATCATCCATTTTCATATGATTAATATAATACGGGCGTGTTAGAACGAGCCGTTTTAGGTAGGCGTGGTTGACTCTTAACTTTTATAAAGAATATCTCTTTGGATTTGAGACTTTAGTCTGCAACTTTACAGATCTTCTTTATGCACCAAGAGCTTGTAACACTCCAAAGAGAAAGGAAAAATTGAAATTGCATCATATGACCCCTTTAATAGAAATTCCAACCAATCAGGTTGGAAAAGCACAGCAGCTTTAGAGCAAAAGTGAGCTGTACACAAGAGTTTCGTGTTCACCTCCCGGTGTGCTGTTCAGCAGCAGTGGATATGGTAGGGAAAGGGGAGGTGATGACTGGGAAGGTTGTGTCGGGGGCAGTTTTGCACAAACTGGCATCTGATCTGACTGCACACTCAGATGTTTTAGGGAAGCAGTGAGACTTTGGTTTGCATCACAAGACACCGTTGCGACATCCAACTGTCCGTCTTCATCTGGATAGAGGACCCTCAGAGTGTAATGGCCATTCTAAAGACAGAACAATGGTAAAAAAAAAACAAAAAAAACACTGTGCACCTCTTTTGTTTGACAGACGCCTAGAGGAGAGAGGTTAAAATAAGCAAGCTTGGGAAATCAACTGAAAAAGGTCTCAGAGGTGGAACAAGACGTTACATTCTGATGAAACAAACATTTTTCTTTGGAATAACATGCGCTGACCCATTTTGCAATAGGACCATGAATGTGTGTATAGATAAACAGATTGTTCACCCAAAAATAAAAAATTCAACATTAACTCACCCTTTTGCCATTCGAAACCTGTAAGCATATCTTTCTTCTGTGGAACACATTTTGATGGTCAGGGTTCAAACAACATTGAGTTTTACTGTATAGACTTTTTGTACAGGTTTGGAAAGACATAAGGGTGAGTAAATAAACATTTCTTTAATAACCGACTTGATGTGAACTTTAAAAGCAGAAATGTTTCCATAACTTCCTTAATACCTCCAAGATAACATGACAGCCAGCGTAGTCAACAACCAAAATATTTTGGCCATGGCCTTGTGTCAGCGAGTATCCACAGGCCGCTGGGGCCCCAAGCACAGATTCAATTACTGAAACACCTGAAAATATTTATAAACATTCAGATGGCAGAAATCGAAATGTTAATTAAATGTACATGTATGAAAACATAAACGGCTATACTAGCACTTACCCAAAATCTTAACCTGACTGAGAGAACCAGCTGGCAAAATCACTTTCATAGTACCATTGTTACAGTAAACTGCCAGTTTTGATTTCATCACCTGTACACTGTCTTGAGTTGCCACTTCTGAGTGATCAGCTTCAACACCAGAATAATCATCATCTACGCTTGAAGAAGGATCTAAAGTAGAGATCGGCGTTGAACCCTGTGATAGAGCCAAATCAATGCAACACAAAACCAGAATTAGCGTTTTCACACCCTGCCAAGCCATGTGTGCTTAAAACTTAGCAAAAGATGGGACGGAGAATAAAGAGTAGCGCTGCAAAAATCAGATCAGAGGGAACTACGTTCATTCATAACACCTGCCTCCAGCAGTTTCAGCATAATTACCTCACGCTGAATATTAATTAGGTCACGTGACGCTTTTCTCAACTTAAAAAGCCAGAGCCGTTGAAAAAACGCCCGAATTCCAGTGTTGCCAAATCCGCGGTTTTCCCGAGGAATTGATCTACTTTAACACTGTTGCCGCGGTTTTTTTTCATGTCCGCGGGTTGAAGCTACTCCAATAACATGATATTTATCCCCTGGAATGCAAATTGTAGCAGGGGAACCCCGCCAAAAACGTGTATTTTACATTTTATATTAGAATCAGCCAGGGGTGTGAAGTAACGAATTACAAATACTCACGTTACAGTAATTAAGTAGTTTTAATCAGTAATTGTACTTTTTTGAGTAGTTTAAAAATTGTGTACTTTTACTTTTACTTGAGTACATTTTAAGTGATGTATTGGTACTTTTACTCCGCTATTTTCCTCCGTTTGTGGTCGTTACATGCTTATTTTCATTTTATTTTTATCCATCAACGTGATTGGATAGAGAGTAATAGGTCTCGTGACTTTCGTCAAATCAAATTGTGCATAGAAAACCTTAACCGCCAACTGTTTATAATGGCTGCTGTAAGTGCATTCTTCAAGCATCAATTCTGTCGGCTATGGGGTTGGTTTATTGTTTACATTTTTTCCCTTATGAATTTGCTTGGTGCAGCATTCTATATGTATATAGGCATGTTTGGGCTGTTATAAATGTTTAAAAAATCATTTATATATTATTAAACGCGATCTGCGATGACGTCACAATCGTGTTGCATTGTGGTCTATGGTGCGGCCTGAAGTGTGCATATGAATCAGACTCGCTCCCTCGGTCAAAATCGAGGGGTCGAGGGTCTGTCCATATAAACTTCCCTCGTCCACTTCAGGAAGTGGAACACACTTCAAAATGGCAGCGGGGATTCCCCCGAGGGGAAGTGCTTAGGGAAGTTTGCCAGTGCCTGTCTAAAAGTGGAGTTGAACGCAGCCCCAATGTCCCTACGCCCTTAAAGTGGAAGTAAACTTGACTGACTGCTTCACTTCCACTTTAAAGTAAAGTCTTTTGGTGAGGGAAAAAGTAAACACGTTTGAGTGTGTAGTAGAAGAGTAGGCAAGCTTTGGGACAGTTACACGCAACGCACACTGACAGAGAACTGAAGTAGCACGTTGATCTGCCAGCCATGGGTCTTTATGCAGAGAACTTTTTGCATAATGATGCATTTAAAAGTTAATGGCAAAACGAATGTTTATAAACGTTCACATTGTTGTTGCAGATAAAATATAACACAGATAACATTATTATTATTTTTTTTACCAGATTAAATGTTGATTATTAGTAACTCAAACGCCTTTTTCTAAACCTCTCTACTTAACCGCACATCCGCCATGTTTGTAGTTTTTAACGCTTTTTATTCATGTTTGTAGTTCTGAAGCCATAGACATATAACATATAAAAAGTGTTTTATATGTCCACGTCTGAAGCGAAATCCTTCGCCAAAGCGCAAAGGATTGTAGGAAATATTAGCCATTAGAATGTGCACGGATCCACACTTCAAAAATCTACCTGAAATAATCGACCATCCGGGGACTTTTGGCGTACTTATTTCAACATACTATGCTTTGGGACACACTTATTCTGATCTCATATTCTATTGAGGATGGATGGTATGAACATTGGGACGCAGGGAGAATGTTAATGGTCGTGCTCCCATTACTGCTGTTCCTGCACTGACCTTTGGGCTACATGTACAGTCGCCTTTATGAAGAAAAAAAAAAAAGAATTTACAGAACTGAAGTATTCAACTACGACTTAAATGATGCTGTATCGCGAAAACTACAGTTCACCACCTGCTTCACACAAATATATAAGCTATACATTATGGATGTCTTAAAGGGTCATGAAACCCCAAACTACTTTTTCTGAGATTTTAGCAGAGGTGTTTGTGTTGCACATCATAGAAGACAATGTTAGCATCCGATAATTTTAAGTGTTGGAGAAAACTGGTTAATTTTAAGCTTTTTTGCGCTATTTTCATCTTCCGGGTTAAAAATCTACATTGTGTTGACGTCACAATTTGTGACGTGGCAATGGACTATATATAGTACATCAATGATGGGTCGGTGTCTATTAAATTATTAATGAACCTGCGTGTTCTTATCCTATGAGAAGACGCTTAGCTTAATTATTGACAACAGCATGTGTTGATTTGCTATGACAGACGCTTC